CCCCAAAACCCCAAAACCCCAAAACCCCAAAACCCCAAAATATTTCATCAATTGAACGTCTCAATAAATTTATATCAATTAACACAACTGATAACAATGGAAAGCTCTTACTCAGGAATTTATACGGATATGGAAAGATTCTACCTTAAAAATGATTTAAAACCAAGGGAGCCTGATTTAGATGAAGTAAGTTTTATGTAGATGAGTGTCTAAAGGGTTTAGATGGTGATAAAAGTTATTTCTTGCCCAATCAACCCTGCTGATAAAAGCTTCCTCAAAGAAACTCTCCCTGCATTCTCTGTCCCTAAGGCTTTCGGGTCTATCGGAGTTGGTTGAGAAGGAGCAGGCGAAGTCGTTGATGTAGGCAGCAATGTTGATGATAGTTTCATTGGAAAATAAAGTGGCTTTCTGTCAACTTCCATGCCACAAGAACTACGAAGGCTCATGGAGGCAGCACATTAATGTCAACAAAAAGTTTGTCATCGAGTATCCTGATGAAGCAGAGTATGACGATATTTGTACCAGCTTCATCAACCCTCTGACAGCCATGTACATTTTGAATCTTGCTGAGAAATCGAAATCAAGAGCCGTCATTCAGAATGCAGCTTGATCAAGCATCGGCAAAATGGTTCTGAGGCTCTTAAATAGTAAAGGAATCAAGGTCATCAACATTGTCAGGAGAGACGAACAGGTCGAGATTCTGGAAGACCTCGGAGCAAACTACATCTTAAACTCAAACAGCGATACGTTCGAAGACGAACTAGATCAACTCATCCACTCGCTAGAGCCGAAGTGTTTCTTCGACTGAGTCGGAGGAGACTGCCTTGAGACATTCTCGAAGATGCCGAAGCAGTCCTCGCTGTACATTTACGGCAACATGGATACAGGTTCGATTTTCAGTTTTAGCAACAAAGAACTGTTGAGTTCTCGGAAAACCATTGCTGGCATTTCTTTGTCTGACTTCTTCGAAAACATGTAAGTGTTCATTGCGATACTATTATTAATCACAAATAGGGGTGACGAACTTCAGCACTACTATGACATCGTTTCTCATGATATTACTGAGGGTGAATACATCTTCAAAACTGAAGTGGTCTGTACTTATCCTCTTGAAGAGTTTGATAAAGCAATTGAAGAAAGCCACAAAATCTCGAGCACTGGTAAAGTCGTCCTCAAACCGTGGGAGCAGTCGTAGATATGCTTTATACATATTGCAGATTCAACTTAGCATGGTTGCTATGGGGTTTTGGGGTTTTGGGGTTTTGGGGTTTTGGGG